CAGCAGAGGCAGCGGGCAGCGGGCGGCCGCTCTCCCGGGGACCAGGCCATGCAGGAAGGGCGGGGAGGGCGGCGTTACCTCCCGGGGGGCTACTCCAAGGAGAGAGGCTTGGGGTCACTGCTTCCCCCTTTTCAGGCTGGCCCGCTTCACTATCTGAGCCCCCTTCCTGCCCTCTGTGAGGTCCGGCTGCAGGCCGCTCCCTCTCAGCGCCACCTGGAGACGCAGCGGAGACAGAAGGCAGGACGGTCGCACGGACGGGCGGCGGGATGCAGGCAAAGACGCGGGGGAGGAGGCGGAGGACTGCCCGCCGCCAGGTAGGAGGAGCTCAAGGAGAGCCTGAACAAGAGGTGAGGGGCGGGGGCACCGGCAGAGCCGGCAGCAGAGGCGGCGTGGGCAGCTCGGAGAGCACGGCCCGCGTACCTTGGCATGTTTCATAAAGTAATGGATATCGGCCTCCAGCTCACGGGGGTCCTCCGGGGGGGCCTGCACAATCACCTCCTCGTGCTCCAGGGTGTCGTCGGCATCGGAGGGGTCTATCTGTCGGACGACCTTGCGGGTGATCTGGAAAAGAGCGAGGGGGCGGGGCTGCTCAAACCATCATGACAGAGCTCGAGGACAGCCAGTCCCGGGCAGGGGGCCCGGGGAGGCCGAGAACGAGAACGGGGCCGACCTCCCCCGCCGCTGTGCCCTATGGCGAAACCTCAGGAGGGGCTGGGGTCTGCGGCGGGTTGTCGCTTGGGCCAGGGCGTGGTGCCTCGGGCCCACCGCGTTCCTTTTCGCTCGGGGCGCTCGCAGTTGTGTGCTTGCCCCAGTTCTACTCCCACCGGGCTGGGGGCAGGGGCACGTTTCAGTCACCTACGGAAACTGGATTCTGCTTCATCCAAATATTCGACGGAGCCTTCTCTCTGCTACCTGCCCATCGCTTGGAGAGATTTTGGAGACACGTCCCCGCCACGCGGCGCAGTGGAGGATGCACGCGGTCTTGCCGTGGGCGTGAGGGCACCCTGCCGCACGTGGAACCCTCCCTGTCCCGCCACGCTGCCCGAGCTTGGCGCGGTGCTGGAGCTGCATTCAGCGCGACAGGTGAGTCCCTGACACTCTCTGTTGGGGAGGTCTGGTGGGCGGGACAGCACACGCCCTCTCAACGCGCGTGCAAGCGGACAGCACACGGCCCTTCTCAACGCCGCGTGCAGGGACGTCACACGGCCTCTCAACACTCTGTACAGGGACAGTCACACCCCCTTCACACTGTGCAGACAGCCACATGGCTCTCTAACCCTTGTGCATGGACAGCCACACGGCCCTCTCAAACCACTGTGCAGGACATCACACGGCCTTCACACCCTTGTGCAGGGGACAGATCACACGGCGCCTTCACGCCTGTGCAGGACAGTCACACGGCCTCTCAACACCCGTGCAGGGGACAGTCACACGGCCTCTCAACCACCTGTGCAGGGAAGTCACACGGCCCTTCAACACCCTGTGCAGGGACAGTCACCACGGCCCTCTCAACACCTGTGAGGACAGTCACACGCCCTCAACCTTGAGGGGGACAGCCACACGGCCTCTCAACACCCTGTGCAGGGACAGCCAACACGGCCTCTCAACACTGTGCAGGGAAGACCACACGGCCTCTCAAACACCCTTGTGCAGGGGACAGTCACACGGCTTCAACACTCTGTGCAGGACGCCACACGCCCTGCTCAACACCGCGTGCAAGGGCAGTACACGGCCTCTCAACACTCTGTGCATGGGAACAGTCACACGGGCCTCTACACCCTTGCAGGGACAGCCACACGCCCTCTCAACACCCGTGCGGGAGCAACGGCCCCAAACCTGGTGCAAGGACAGCCACACGGCCTTTCAACGTGTGCACGGACAGCCACACGGGCCCTCTCACACACCTGTGCAGGACAGCGAGCGGCCCTCTAACACCCTGGCAAGGGACAGCCACACGGCCCTCTCACACCTGTGCAGGGACAGTCACACGGCCTCTCAACGCCGCGTGCAGGGACGTCACACGGCTCTAAACTCTGTACAGGACAGTCACCACGGCCCTCTCAACACCTGTGCAGGGACAGCCACACGGACCTCTCACAACGTGCAGGGGACAGGTCACACGGCCTCTCAACACTCTGTGCAGGACAGTCACACGCCCTCTCAACACCCTGTGCAGGGACAGCCACACGTCTCTCAACCTGTGCAGGGGGCAGTCACACGGCCCTCTCAACGGCCCTGTGCAGGACATCCACACGGCCCTCTCAACACCCTGTGCAGGGACATCACACGGCCTCTCAACACCCTGTGCAGGGAAGCTACACGGCCATTCAACACCGTGCGGGACAGTCACACGGCCCTCTCACACCCTGTGCAGGGACAGCACACGCCTCTAAACCTTGTGCGGGACAGTCACAGGCACTCTCAAAGCCGTGCAGGACGTCACAGGCCCTCTAACACCCTGTGCAGGGAACACACGGCCTCTTCAACACCTGTGCAGGGACAGTCACACGGCCTCTAAACCTGTGCAGGGCAGCCACATGCCCTCATCAACACCCTGTGCAGGACAGATCTCTCTGCTGGCCCCCTGCAGCCTGCTGTGTGGTCTGGAGGCTCGGGCTGTCGCTTCCCGGCCTACTAACTGCGCCCCTGAGCCCCGACTTCCTCCTTGGGAAGGCAGCGCCAGTGACGGACGTCCCGTTCTTGGGGAGCGCACAAACGCAGTTTTGAGAAGATGCTTTTGGATGCGTAATCGCACCCTGTAAATTGCCCGGGGATGGTGCCTTGGAAACCAGGCGGTGGGGATCTGCAGGAGGGCGTGTGGGCAGGGCCTTGGAGAGGATGGAAGAGTCTGTCTAGACAGTGGCAGTCCCACGTCTGTGCCCAGGAAAAGCTCCAAGACTCAGAGCTGGACCGGCTCTCGAACCCTACCGCGGCCCAGACCAGCCCCGGCGTTAGATCCCCTTGTGAGACGCGTTGCTCCCCGGCTTTCTAGGAAAGGACTAAGTTACTGGCCCCGGGGGTGGACGGCATCGTCCCTGCAAGTCGAGGGCCGTGGGTGTTGGGGCCCGGGCCCCGGTGCATGTCGAGCGTGAGCATGGGCCCGTGTGGCCAGGTGCGGGGCGTGCCGTGCTGCGCCTCCAGGGAGGGCTGTGAGGACGCAGTGGGGGACGGCGCCCAGCAGGCCCGCGCAGGGCTGGGGCTCTGGCGGCCAGCTCTGACCCTGTCCCCCCTGAGGGGTCCTGTACTGAGCTGCCCCGAGGCCCTGTATTGCCCCGCTCGGGGCAGCTCAGTACAGGGTGCGTCGGGGCGGGAGTGAGCGGGAGCCAGGAGGCCTCGTGGCCCGGCCGGTGCTACCCAGGCTGCCGCTGGTCAGACCCCAGGCCCGCCCTGGCGCCACCGAGAGCAGCCCCTGGCTTTGCACGCTCGGCAGAAAGCAGGGCCTCTGCCTCCGAGCCACCGAGGTGCTGACTCTGCGCTTCCTGATATATCTCAGCACTTGGGCAAAAAGAGGACTGGCGGATCCAGTTACAGGATAAAATTAGACCTGACTCCTCAGCAGCTTAAGGAGGTCACCGCGTTAACCCTGGCACTGCCAAGCGGTCCGCCGGGCTGCTGGTTTCGATGGTCCTAGAAATAATCGCAAGACGCAGAGAGGGATTTCAAAGGGCAGAGAGGGGAGAGAAAAGGGACACTGTCCTGCCCTGTTTTCTTACGGCCGCAGCCGCAGCTTTGCTTGGGAGCGTGTCGAGCTGGGTTTCTGCTGACGTCCCGGGACGGGAGGGGGCACCCCACAAGGCCAGCTGTGGGGGAAGGAGGGAACGTGGGATCTTGTTGGCGTGCTGTAGGTGATCTGCAGAGTGGCTGAAGCCCCCGCAGGTGACTGGCGACCAGGCCACGGCGCTGGGCCGTCTGCCAGTGAAGGCAGGGGGAGCATGTGGTTGGGAGGGAGCGGCAAGGGGCAGGCGAGCACTGTCCCCTCCCGGCCAGGGCAGAGGCTGCAGAGGCGAGTGAGGGCTGCAGCCTCTCGGGGCCCGTTTACCCCACCCCCTCGCAATCATGTGTAGTGGATCCTCGTTGCTAAACTTCATTTGTGACCCCAAAGCTAGCAATCACCAGGCTCCCGCCGTCCTTCACAGACACAAACAGGCCCGGCGTGCACATGCCCGGCTGGGTTTGCACAAGGTGGTGACAGTCTGCCTCCTAGCGCCAGCTCTGAGACTGTAAGTAGGTGTTGTGTGGTCTGTTTAGGGTGAAACTTTCTGCATTTCTGTGCTCCCAGTTGGCGTCTTGTTGGTTGTGTAAAGTGGCCGCGAGGGGGGCTGCGGTGCTGTCGCGAGTTGCTGAGGCAGGAAGGCTGCGCCTTGGGCGGGCGTAGGCGTGTGAGGCCAGCTTGGTTCAGGGACGCGTTGTGTCCGCGGTGGAGAGGTTGGCGTTAATGAATCAAGCAGATATATTAAATAATGTGTCTTCGACACACTGACTGGCCACACTAGAAAAAAACTTTCCCTGGGGCCATGGTGTTTTCTTAAAACAAAACGATCCTTTCTGATTAGTTTTTTTTTAGTGTCTGCGTGTGAGTCATATACGACACAATTCACGTTTTTAGGATTAAGCTGTCAATGTTAATGGTAAGAATAAGAACATCATCAACAAGTAAGATTTTCACGAGCCAGCTGCAGGGTTTCACTTCACAAGGCCCCAGACTCAAAAGCAGCGTGAGTTAAATACAACTCGCACGGCAGTTAAGTGTGTCAAACGGGGACACACATAAAGCAAAGTTATGTATTCATCGGTTGATAAAAAACACTGTGACCAGAGGCTCAAAGGAGTCTGAGGAGCAGCTGCTGCACATTCACTAATTCAGTGTTCACGGTGACGTTCTAGAACATAACCTCAAATAATGAGACTCGACTGTGTGTTCCGAGAGTGAGAGTGAGGCTAGGGAGTCTAGATTCAAGGCCTGCCTCCTCCTGTTTCCAGGTTGGGTGACCTCACCCAAGTCATTTAACTGCCCTTAGCTTCCGCCTCCTCCAGGAAAGATGCAAACAGTCCCTCCCGGATGCGTGTTACACTTCAATAAAGTGTAAAAAGAATAATGGCCAGCCGGGCGCGGTGGCTCACACCTGTGATCCCAGCACTCTGGGAGGCCGAGGCGAGAGGATCGCTTGAGGTCAGGAGCTCGAGGCCAGCCTGAGCAAGAGCGAGACCCCCGCCTCTACTAAAAACAGAAAAAATTTTAGTAGCCGGGCATGGTGGCGCATGCCTGTAGTCCCAGCTACTCGGGAGGCTGAGGCAGGAGGATCCCCTGAGCCCAGAGTCTGAGGTTGCTGTGAGCTGGGCTGACGCCGCGGCACTCTGGCTGGGGTGGCAGAGCAAGGCTGTGTCTCCAAAAAGGAAGAGCGCGGTACCTGGGAGAGCTGCCGTGGACAGCGAATGGGAGCGTGTGTCCTGCGGCTCTCGGGCACTCGCAGGGCTCCTTCGTGACGTGGCCGGGCGAGCCGGCCGTGTTCCCTCCCCGCCCCATGTTCCCCCTTCTGGGACGGCCCTGGTGACGGCCCTGTGGATGGTGAAGTCCGGCCAGGCCGTCTCTCAAAGGGCCGTCGGCATCCCTGCCTGGCAGTCTCGTGACGACGTCCCGTGGAAACACAGACTGCCGGGCCCTGCCCAGACCTGGGATTCTGCCGCAGACTCGGCGCCCAGTGCTGCTCCTGCGCAGGGTGGCGGCCCGCCTCGCTCTGGGGCTCCAGCAGTGGTGGGGCTCCGCTGGAGACTTCCCGTCTAAGACGCGGCCCGGCCCGAGGGAACGAGGGTCTAGTCTGTTTGGGGACGTGGAACCTCCCGCCCGGGCGGCCCGGCCTCCCGCTCTGCAGACCCCAGGGTCACCCCAGGGTCACGGCAGCATGGGGAAGGGCGTAGGGCCGAGCCTGGAAAGCTGCTGCGTGTTGGGGCGCACGGCAGCGGGTGGTGGGCTCTGCCTTGTGCCCAGGCTGTGGGCGCGAGTGCGAGTGTCGTTGCGGCTAGGGGCAGGCGTGGCGAGGCGGGCGGGAGGGCGGGGGGCAGGCCACCCCGCGGCCCCTGCACCATGCCCAGCCCGGGCAGGCCCTCCGGGACGCTCTGGCCAGCCACGAGTTGAAACGCTGCTGCTCGTCCTGCTTTCCTTTGTAAGGGGGGCCGTCCCTGCAGCACAGCGGCCAGACTTGCGCTCACCCTGTCCCTGCGGCACCGCGGCCGCAAGACTTGCGCTCACCCTGACGACGGGCGGTTTGAGTCCGTTTCCAAACGAGCCTGTCGTGTCCGCGGGAGGGGTGGAGATGCCAGGTGCTGCTCTGCGTGGGGCTGAGTCGACCCCTGTCCCCAGCCTCCCTGCAGGCATCGGAGCTGGGGGGGGAGAGCCGGAGCGCCGGCAGGGTGGGAACAGGCGTGACAGTGGAGAGAGAGGAACCGAGCAGGGCAACCCGGCCAGCCCGGCCACCAAGAGTTCCTGAGCGTTTAAAGGCTGAGCCCTTTCTCAGAGGGGGCCTAGGGAAGAGCCACCACGAAGCACAGGAGTCCCCAGGGAGCCTGCCTGCCCCACGACACTCCCTCGGGTCTCAGTGTCCCCAGACGTGACGGAGCTGTCCCTCCAGGGTGATCGCTAGGGTTTGAGCTTTCTCTTCCGCTCCGTGCCCGGGCAGCAGAGCGGGTGGGAGACGGTGGCCTGTCCGTGCGAGGCTCAAGGTCCCAGAGTGGCCCTTTTAATCGAGGAGTGCTTGGCTCGGGCTGGGCACCGGGGGGAGCACCCGGAGGCTGTGCATGGCTCGGAGCGTGTACGGTCCAGCCCCGGAAAGATGCAGGCGTGACAGGGACAGACACGGGGAGACAGTAGCACTTCCGAGAGCCCAGGAATGAATCGTTCCCGTTCACGTGCCGTGCCCTGTCCTACACACTCTGTGTGTTTAGTTCGGTTAAACATCACAACTAGCAATGAGGCGTGTGCTATTTTTGCCCTCCCCTCGCAGCAGAGAAAACTGAGTCACGGAACGGGTAAGTTCCTTGGCCAAGGTCAGGTGGCACAGGGTTTGACCCAGGCCCTCGGGCTCCAGAGTTCGTGTCACACCTCCCCCCCCGGACTCTGCTGTCTTTAAACAAAAGGCAGTGGTGGGAAAGGGGAGCTCCCAGGGTGCAGCGGGGTGTCCAGGGTGGCGGTGGGACGTCCCACACAGCAGAGTGGAAGGCGGCCCTGACAGAGGGCAGGGCTTGGAGGAGACAGCCATGAGGAGGGACGGCCTCCCTGTCGGGATGGCTCGTCCCGCTGGTAACAGCTTCAGTTCCTGGTCCTACAGCTTATAGCAGCCCTGGCTAGGAGCCCGGCACCCTCCTGTCCCCGGAGAGCCCCTGGAAAGCTGCGTCCTCCTGGGTCACGACCTCTGCCACCCCTCCCCAGGCCTGTCCCTGGAGGACCCAAGAGGGCTTCACCTCTGGGGACAGCCCTGCCTCCAAACGAGCTCCTGTGCCCCCCCCCTGCCCCGCCACTTCCCACCCAACCCAGGAGGCCATCAGCACCTCCTTGCTGAAGCAGCTCCTGCCCCATCACCCGAGGCCCCTGCAGACAGAACTTGAGGGGCTGGTCTTGCAAGCGGGGGGGTTTCAGCCCAGCTGGAGGCAGGAGAGTGTCCCGCTGTGGGTTGCAGCCGCAGAAGGTGGACGTGCTCCTTGGGCAGAGCCGAGTGGGGAGCGCAGCCGCTGTCCACCCCCGCCGCGGCAGAGGCCGTCCATCCGTCCATCCGTCCGTCCGTAGGGCATGGGGAGGGGAGCCAGAGGCGCCTGACAGGAGGGGCCGGGGACCAGAGCCGAGGGGCGCTGTCACCCCTGGAGGGTCCAGGGCTGGCGCACAGCAGAGCTCAGAGCACGCTGGCAGGACCGAGCTGAGGAAGCGAGGGGCGCCGCTGCCTCGCCAAGCCCTTCCTCGGCCCGGCCCTGCTCCTGAGATGGCCCTTCCTTAGGGCAGGGACAGGCACTAGGGATTTCTGCCCGGGCCGCCACGCGGGCAGGGGAGCTGGGGGAGGGGGGCCTGCAGGTGCCACAAGCCGCAGCGCCTGGCCCGCCGGGGAGACTGCTTTTCCTGCACCATCTCCCTCTGCGGCCAGCTCCAACCCTGCGTCTGGGGTTCTGCCGGGAGTCGCCCGGCGCGTTCTGAGTGCTCTTGTCTCCTGTGTCCCTCAGGGCCACACCTCGACACCCAAGCCCTGACTGCGCCACTCCGCCATGCACACCAGGAGAGCGGCCCCAGGTGACGGAAGCAGCACACCTGTCCCTCTAGGCTGCCGGCATGACCTCCGTGAGGGACTTCCTTCGGTCCCCGTCCGCATGAGCGACTGACTGTACACGCATGACCTACAGGCTTCCATCCCGCCTCTAGTGACAACAGGGGACGCAGGACGGGCGCGGCGAGGAGGGGAGAGAGAGAGAGAAGCCAGCGGGAGCGCGTGGGGCACAAAAGCGAATAAGGGCTTTTCTATGGCTGGGGATGGTTTTTGTTTTTCGGGTTTTTTTTTTTTTAATTGTTTTGATTTTGACTTCGTACAGGGTACCGTTTTTTCAACTTCATCTGTCAGGAATCTGTGTGGGCTTCCTGGGGGGGGGAAGAAAAGAGAACTAGGCATGAAATCAGTTGTCCACGCCTCAGTCCCCTGTCCCCACCCGCCAGCCTCCCGTCCCGCGTGGCCGTTCCGTGTGACAGCCCCTCCACTCCCCGGTGGACGCCGCTCCCAGCACACCCCGCGTGACATTCGGGACACGCTCGCACGCACCTCTCCCCTCCCTCTGCTCGGCACACACGGATTTTTGCCGTGACATCGAAGCTGTGTAGAATCTCCTATGGATAAACCGGAAATTTTTTTTTTTTTTTATGTTGTGTCTCTGCCAATTTCAGCATTCATCATCTTCCAGTGGAAAACCATTATTACCTTTAGGGTGCATTCGGGGTTCCTCGTGCACTGGGGCGAGGACCCCAGGCTTGCTTTAGGGCTAGAGGGGGCCAGTGCCTCACCCGAGGGGTCTCCTCGCTCAGGCGGGCCCTGGCGGCAGCCGTCCGGGGACGCACCAGCATGTTCAGTAGAGACGGCGAGGTTTCCTCCATCCCCGAGCATATATCATAGTCCGTGTTCACAGTGTAACCTGTGCAGTATCAGCCTTGTGTATACGAGAAACAATAAATACTATGCAAACCAATAGACACACTTCAGTATGTGCAGAGCACTAGCAGCCCGGCTCCTGGCACTCCCCCGCTGCCGAGAAGGAGCCGGGGCCTTTCCGTGCAGCAGGAAGGAAGGGAGCAGGGCGAGTGCGCAGCGTCAGGACCGCCCGAGTCCCCCAGAGCCAACTTGGTGCTCTAAGTCCAGGCAGCCCGCAGGCTGGGGGTCTTGGTGCCCGCACAGGGTCTAGGCTGCACAGCCTGGGCGCCTGCGCCCTGGCGCCCCTGGGAGAGGCGGGGCAAGGGGCCCCTGCGACCAGGGCGGGTGGGAGCAGAGCCGGGACCGCCCGCTGGCCACCGGGAGACCCAGGGCTAGGAAGGGCCCCCAGGCCAGGCCCCGGTGCAGGCAGGGAGGAGACCGCCGGCCGTTCCTCGCCTGGGTGCCAGCGGGGAAGAGCCTTAACGTCCACTAGAGCCTCCGGCCGGCCGGGGAGGCCCGAATCAGCACAATCCGCCAGGAGAGAGGCGGCTCTTCCCGCGCCCCAGGGCGCCCGCGCGCGCTCGTCCTCGGGCGCTTGAACCCTTCCAAGTAGCACAGACGCCCGCCCGGCGCCCCTGCCTCCGCGCCGCGCAGGGACGGCAGGTGCCCGCGGCGTCCGCGCCGCGCCGGGGCCGCCGCAGGAGGCCGCGCGGCCACGGGCGGGCGCGGCGGGCACGGAGGCGGGGGCGCAGGCCGGCCTCCCGCTCCCGCACGCCCGCCCGGCCTTGGGCTCCGCCCGGCTTGGCTGCCTGGCTGCACCCGCCCGCTAGTAGAGCTCGGGGGCCACGCCACGCCTAGAGAATGCTGCAGTCTGCACTTAGACGCTTTTTAGAAGTTTTGAGATTACCTTGATTTTTTAATTGTATGAAAAACGAGCCTTTTCTTGCCTCTCCCACGCCCTGTTAGCGGGAGAGAACCCCCCACTCCCGATGTGTAGACCGTTCCCTACACCAGCCGAACCAGTGTCAAGGTTATAAAGAAATTGACTCGGCGCCGGGCTCCGCTTCTCCTTCCTGCTCGTCTGGGGGGGCTTGAGGGGCAGAGCTGGCTGGGGGTGCAATCTGTCAGCGGGAGGGGGCCCTCCTGGGGGCCGGGCAGCCCCTCAGTCAGGACCACCACCCTAGGAGAAGCCCCCAGAGAGGTGGCAGAGCAGATTCCTGTCCCCCCTGCCGGCTACCATGGGATGGGGACGTTGGGGGTTGGGGAGGGGCCCCCACGGGCCACCAGGGTACTTGGCCAGGGCCCCCCACCCCAGTTCATGCAGTGAGGGGGACCCCCCAACACTCCCTGCGAAGGCATCCGGCCCCTGCATTCAGTGCCATTCGAAGTTCAAGAACTTGCTCCTTAGAACGCAAGTTTGAGGTTGAAAAGCAAGGAAAAGTAGAAAAAAACAAAACAAAAAACCTTGCTCTTTCTATAGAGAGAAAACGGCCGCTTTCCTGTCACTTCTTGCAAGGCTAGTCACCAAGGCAGCGTCAGTTTCCGCACCTGTCAGACGGGGGAACGGATTTAGCGATTGCAAAAGTCACGCCGGTTTGTCATCCTGGGGTTCCCAGACACCAGCACCTTCGTCAGGTGTGGCGTTACTTAAGAAGCAAGTGGCTGGCCAGAGCTTTTCTGCCTTGTAAATCCTCATCACGAGGGGTGACCGAGTCACAGTCCCAAGGTCCCCAGAGGACCCTCAGCCCCCTTCCCAGCAGGCACCTTTCTCGGAGTCTGCAAGGCCACTCCGGCCGGTGGGCCAGACACTGCCCAATGGCCCGGGGTGGGGGTGGGGGGGCTTTTTAAAACGCAGGTTCAGAATCACAGCTACCTGGGTGGGATCTGGTGGCCACACTGGGAGTCAGAGTTAAGCCCCCAGGTGGTTGTGAAGCACAGCCCGGTAGCACAGCCAGCTCAGATGAAGAAGCAGCTTTTTTTTTTTTTCTTGTTTTTAAGCCCAACTTGCAAAAAATCGTGTCCCACCCTTTGTGAGGGCCTCCTTGCATGAACCTAAAATCGCCATTCTCCAGAGAGCGGGGCGGAGCTGTGTCTGCGTGCAGAGGAGACCTCCCTGAGCCCGAGGCCCCAGGAGAGCTCTTGGGCTCGGGAGCCAAAGAGAAGGCGGCGAAACACAGCCCCTCTGCTGCACCTGCCTAAGCGCAGCCCATGCTGGTGAGAGCTGGCAGCGCCAGCCTGCAGAGCTGAGGCCTGGGCAGGAAGGGCTTTGGGGCCACCTGGGGGGGCCGGGGGGCCGGGGGGGGGACAGAAGTCCATCTGTCCGACAGTCACTATTTGCCCCAACATTTTTGCTCATTCAGCCCAGTGGCATGCTGGTTTCCATTTCTAAAGAAAAACTCCAGGAAAGAATGCTGCTCAACATAAAAATAACCCAAGTACTTGGAAATTGGGCTCGGACTCCTTTGTGCCTCAGTTTCCCTGTTTGTAAAATGAGGCATTGCCTCAGTAGAGCCCTGTGCTTTATAAAGATTCATTAGGGGGAAAAAAAGCGGGGGGGGGGGTTTCTCTGTGATTCAATCCAGTCCCATGCATCAAACATATAACTGAGTCCCAACCAAGCCACCCGGCAGAGGGTGGCCCTCTGGGGCCACCAGAGCTTCAGCCCCAGGCCCCAAGCCAGACAGAATGCAGCCATTGCTCCGGCAGAGGCAGAAATACGGGAGGGACCCCGACGGGGAGCTCAGGGCGGGCTGCCCAGCAGTGGGGGAGCGGGCAGGCTCGCTGGGTGGGAAGGTGTACACCGCGCCACCATCAGAGCTGCCCACTGCCCAGCCCTGGCGCTGGCTGCCCGCCCAGCAGGCTCCCCAGGTAGCCTGTGGCCCCAGCCCCCCAGAAAGCAGGTGCCGCCCAGCTCCCCCTCACCTTCCCCAGCAGCACGGGGGAGGCAGCCAGCCGGCCCTCCTGCCCGGCGTGGGCGTGTGCACATAAAGGGGCCGGAGCGGCTCGGGACAGTGACCTCTGAGCCCGGCCTCCTCTTTTTCAGGGGAGCAGCTGCAGAGCTAGGACTTCCAGCTGCCTCGGGAGCCTCCTGGAGGGGGGGGGCGACACTCACCTTTCCCTAGAAGCTGGACTTGGATTTGGAAGCAGGTGGACCTTTTGACGAGCAGCGCTTCTGGAACTAATTTCTCTCTCTCTCTCTCTCTAACTAATCTCTCTCTCTCTCTCTCTCTCTCACACACACACACAGCCTGGCTGATTTTACAGTCAATCTTTCAAAGTGCAATTTGTCTAGGAAAAGCCAATGCGAGCCCGTGCGCAGCCAATGGCGGCCTGGCTGCGGCGGCTCAGCCAGTGTGGGGCCGTATTCTAATGGGCCCGATCTTTATCAGGGAAACTGTGCCTTCTCTGGGCGGAAAACTTCTCATGGAGGGCCCCCAGACCCAGAGGCAGAACGGGGGTCTGAGCTGAGGTGTGGGAGCCCCCCTGGCCAGGCCAGGGCAGGGCGGGGAGCGGAGGCCTTGGGCGGCTCCCACCTGCCGGGAGCACCTGACTTCCGAGCAGCTGACCCGCAGGTCCCCGGCCTGGGCAGCCGCATACCGCGGGGGGGACAGGCGGTCGTGACCCTGCCATCCTGCCATGAGGTTCTGGGCCAGGGCGTGGGGTCTCGGGCTTTAGGGGCCTGGGCCGGGGCCTCTCACCTTCCGTCCCCCTGACCCGGGGCCTCTCACCTTCCGTCCCCCTGACCCGGGGATCATGGAGTCCAACCTGCAGGGGACCTTCCTGCTGAACAACACACCACTGGCTCAGTTCTCGGAGATGAAGGCCCCGGTGTGCCAGTACTCCGTGCAGAACTCGTTCTACAAGCTCAGCCCCGCCGGGCTGGGCCCCCAGCTGGCCGCCGGGACCCCCCACGGGATCACAGACATCCTGAGCAGGCCTGTGGCCACCCCGAACAGCAGCCTCCTCTCCAGCTACCCCCACGTGGCTGCCGGCTTCGGCGGACTCGGCTCCCAGGGGGTCTACTACGGCCCCCAGGTGGGGAATTTTTCCAAGGCTGGGAACGAGTTCCCCACCCGGACCCGGAACTGCTGGGCGGACCCGGGCCAGGACTGGCGCGCCGGGCGGCAGTGCAGCAACAGTGAGTACCGGGCAGCCCCTGGGCCACCACGCACAAGCACGCCCGCGCCGGGCGCAGGGGCCGGGAGGGGGCCCTGCCCTTGGCCGCCATCAGACAGCCCCGCTCAGACACCTGCACTCACGTCCGCCATGCGGCGCGGGGTGGAACTCCACCCTGCCCCCATTCCTGCCCAGCTGTGCTTGGACGCAGGTGCCACCTCGGCTGCCCTCATGGGGCACTTGGGCGCCCACAGCTGTCCTGTGCAGGCCCAGCCGGCGGCTGACCTCACTGCTCCTGCCCGAGCCCGGGCGCCACTCCTCCACCCGGAGCCGGCCAATGCTTCCTTCCTGTGAGGAAACCTGGCCGGCCTCCGCTTCCCAAAGAGCCCTGGCCCCGTCCAGAGAGGCAGGGCACACCCAGCCCCTTCCAGGTCCCGCCTGCCAGCCAGGGGTCTGGAGGAGGTGGCGGGATGTGCACAGACAGGTGAGGCTCACGTGGGGGGCAGGGGGGTGAGAGCAGCCTCCGGAGCCATGCCAGGGCCACCGAGGCCCTGCCCAGGTCGGGTGGGGGCAGGGCTGGAGGAAGCCTCCCCGTCTGTCTGATCTCTGGGCTCCCCACTGTGGCGGGGGGTCGGGGCGGCCGAGCAAACCCCCAGAGCCCACCTGCCCCCGCGCCACTGCGCTGCCTGGCGGTCACCCTCGCTCAACCAGAAACCCGGGAGTTCCGGCAGGGGTTAAGCACCCCCCTCTTGGGAACCTATAGCCTGGTTTTGGGGTGCTGCAAGCCTCAAGCTGGCCCTCTCTTACCTCCATCTCGCCCCTCCACCCCCTCTGCACACCCTCCCACTTTCAGTCGGTCGCTAATGCGGGTGCACACCAGGAGCCCGGCTAAGAAAGCGGCTGAATTAATGCACAGGGAGGAAGACGGTCTCTAGGGAGGTCTCTTCCACTCTCTGTGCCTCAGTTTCCTCGCCTGTCACTTGAGCTATCAGACTGCAGCAAGCACTCGAGGACTCTGCTTGCCCTGAGCCCGCTGCCTGCAGCTCCTCCCCGGGCAGCCTGCCCCGGCCGGGCTGGGGAACTCCGGCCTCCCTGCCCGGACTCCCAGTGTTGGTAAAGCCACATAAAGTCCTGGTGAAGCCAGGACTTCCAGGCCTGGCGACAAAGGGAAGTGGCAACCTGGAGCTGGAGGCTTGCTCTTCCCTGGTTTTCCTGGAGACCTGGGAAGGCAGGGTCCAGGGGCAAGGAAGTGGCCCTGGGGGCCATGACTGTAGGTAGAGGTGACCTGAAGAGGGCACAGAGAGCAAGCTCCTGCGTCCCCTCGGGGGAAGGCAGCATCCGTGAGCAGTGAGAACCTCACACACAGTCTCGAGCCCGTAGGCACCGGGGCGGCCGCCCACCCAGACACTACCAAGGGCAAAGTTGCTGTTGTCTGAGTGTCCGGAAGGCAGCTCAGGGGAAAGGTGTCACGACGCCCTGGCAGCTCAGTCCCTTCCCCACGGGCGGGAGAGGCAGGGCCAGGCTGGCCCCTTGCAGGCAGTGCGCAGTCCTGGGCCCCACGCCTCCCGCTAACACGCACCTCCCTCCCCCGCCAGCCCCAGACCCCCTGGGCGACAGCATCCACAAGAAGAAGCACACCCGGCCCACCTTCACGGGGCACCAGATCTTCGCCCTGGAGAAAACCTTCGAGCAGACCAAGTACTTGGCCGGCCCTGAGAGGGCGCGGCTGGCGTACTCCCTGGGCATGACCGAGTCGCAGGTCAAGGTGAGTGCGTGCGGGAGAAGGCGCCTGCCTGGCCGGGAGGGGCCTGCGGGACAGGACGCCGCGGCGTGGAGGGGGACAGCCGGGCTCTCCCGGCTCCTCGGGGGAGGCTGTCCCAGTTGCCCAGCTCACCTTGCACCTGCAATAATTTGCCACGGCAAAAAGCAAGGCTGTCGTTACTGAGCCGGCCCTGAGAGCCTTATACGCAGGGTGTCTTTTCATCCTCAGCACCCTGGGTGGCCGTTGTCACCATTGCACAGGTGACGGTCAAGCAGGCCAGGTGCTGAGGGCGGGTTGGGACTCCACCCAGATGTGTGGGACTCCACCCAGATGTGAGGGACTCCACCCAGATGTGAGGGACTCCACCCCAGATGTGTGGGACTCCACCCAGATGTGAGGGACTCCTCCCCAGATGTGAGAGACTCCACCCCAGATGTGAGGGACTCCACCCCAGATGTGAGGGACTCCACCCCAGATGTGAGGGACTCCACCCCAGATGTGAGGGACTCCTCCCCAGATGTGTGGGACTCCACCCAGATGTGAGGGACTCCACCCAGATGTGTGGGACTCCACCCCAGATGTGAGGGACTCCACCCCAGATGTGAGGGACTCCACCCCAGATGTGAGGGACTCCACCCCAGATGTAAGGGACTCCTCCCCAGATGTGAGAGACTCCACCCCAGATGTGAGGGACTCCACCCCAGATGTGAGGGACTCCACCCCATATGTGAGGGACTCCACCCAGATGTGTGGGACTCCACCCCAGATGTGAGGGACTCCACCCCAGATGTGAGGGACTCCACCCCA